GCCGCCGGCCGGCCTGGCTCCCCTCCCCAGCCCGGACGGGCGGGCGTGCTGCCCTGAGGGGGCGGGGAGGGGAGGGATCGGCAGGCCGGCGGGCGGGGGACGGTGCCGAACTTCTGCGCCACCCCCAACTGCACCCGGAAGAGCAAACAGTAGGACCTGGCCTTCTTCAGGTTTCCGCGGGACCCGGCCAGATGCCAGAAGTGCATGGAGAATTGTGGGAGAGCGGACTTAGAAGATCAAACACCTGATCAACTCAATAAACATTATCGACTGTGTGCCGCTTTGAGACCTCTATGATCTGTAGGACTATACATTTTGCAGAGGCATCAGAAAACTAAAGAATGATTGGGTTATTTTATTTCTCAAACTTAATTGGAGCAGATACTTGTGAAGTCATTGGGAGAGTCCTTATAAGACTGTTCTTCGAGATAATGCAATACGAACAATATTTGATCTTACCAATCACTTGAACAATCCGCATAGCAGACACAGAAAACGAATGAAAGAGTTGCGTGAAGATGAAATAAGGACACCAAAACAGAAAAAAAAATGATGAAACTTCTGACCAGGAACAGAAACATAAGGAAACAAACAATAGCAATGCTCAGAATCCCAGTGCAGAAGTGGTAGGTGATGAGCAGGATGAAGACATTTTACCTTTAACCCTTGAAGAGAAGGAAAACAAAGACTACTTAAAGTCTCTATTTGAAATTTTGATTCTTACGAGAAAACAAAACATACCTTTGGATGGGCATGAGACTGATGAAATTCCAGAAGGTCTTTTTACACCTGATAACTTTCAAGCATTGCTAGAGTGCTGGATAAATTCTGCTGAAGAGGTCCTGAGAAAGTGTTTTGAGATCACAGCTGTTAACACATAGTTCTGTTAAAAAACACAGCAGAAACAGATGCTAGAGATCTGTGAGAGCTGTATTCGTGAAGAAACCCTCAGGGAAGTGAGAGACTCACACTTCTTTTCCATCATCACTGACGATGTGGTGGACATAGCAGGGGAAGAGCACTTACCTGTCTTAGTGAGGTTTGTCCATCAATCTCATAACCTAAGAGAAGAGTTTGTGGGCTTCCTCCCTTGTGAAGCTGATGCAGAAATTCTAGCTGTGAAATTTCATACTACAATAACTGAGAAGTGGGGACTCAATATGGACTAATGTTGTGGCCAGGCTTATATTGTGTCCAGTGGATTTTCTTCTAAAATGAAAGTTGTTGGGGCCAGGGAGATGGCTCAGTGGAATAAGTGCTTCTCTGGCAAGCGCAAGGGCCTGAGTTTAATCCCTGGTTCCGCAAAAAAAAAAAAAAAAAAAGATTTGGTAAATTTAAAAAAAGAAAAGAAAATTGTTTCTTCTAGACTTTTAGAGAAATATTCCCAAGCTATCTACACACTCTGCTCTTCCTGTGCCTTAAACATGCGGTTGGCAAAATCAGTGCCTGTGGTAGGGGTATCAGTTGCATTAGGAACAATTGAAGAAGTCTTTTTTCCATCAATCACCACAACTACTTTTAGAACTTGTCAAGCTAATTTCTGTTCTTTTTCAGAACAGTGAAGAAAGGGGTAAAGAACTGAAGGAAGTGTGTCATTCTCGATGGACAGGCAGGCACGATGCTTTTGATGCTTTAATGGATCTCCTACAAGCACTTGTTTTGTGTTTAGATGGTATACACAGTGCCACAAATATTAGATGGAATAACTGTATAGCTGGCCGAGCATTTATACTCTGCAGTGCAGTGACAGATTTTGATTTTATTGTTACTATCGTTGTTCTTAAAAATGTCTTATCTTTTACAAGGGCCTTTGGGAAAAATCTCCAGGGACAAACTTCTGATGTCTTTTTTGCAGCCAGCAGCTTGACTGCAGTACTTCACTCACTCAATGAAGTGATGGAAAATATTGAAGT